ATATCTGCAAACCTAAAATGTCAACATAAACTTAACAAAGTAGATAAATATCTGTGTTTGTTCCTGCACGTTGCACAGCTGTTCCCACTGTGTTGCTTTAATGTTTAAATAGTTTGATGTCTCTTCAAATTGAATTAAAGAGCCTGCAGGCAGCAGCGCCCCCTGGTGGTCCAAGCAGACACTAAGGTGGACCAGAACCTGTCTTCTGCAGCTCAGTCTGTCTTTCTCCATCTCAGCGTTCAAATGCACGCAGACAGCGTCTGATTTCATGTGCAGCTGCTCTGATAATGCGCTAAATGCAGGCGCCGCGCTGAGCCGGAGCTCCTAAACGGTTAACCGAGGCGCAGGGTGACGACTCTCCTCGCCGTTGGCTCCCTCTGAATCCTCCTCACACGTGAGCCGAGCGACGGGCGGAAGACGGAGCAGCCTCCCTGTCGGCCTTCAGGAGGGGCTGAAGGTGACTCTCCTCTCGGCTGGGATGCACAGGCGGCCGCTGGACCTCCCGTCGGCCACGAACACGCTGCAGCTCCGGGGATCCGCCGCGCACCGCCGCAGCGCGCCTCTGCGTTAGAAACCAAAAACCCTCCATCCATCCATCCACCCAGCAGCAGCAGCAGCAGCGTCCTGCCGATTCTCTCCTCCGCAGAGGACACAGCAGCCAGCAGCGACCGTCCTCGGCTGGGTGTGCATGCATGTGTTCTGCACCGTACGGGCGGAAGAAGCGCCCAAGATCCGCAGGGAGCATCTTCCCCATCAGTAAAGGCGCGCAGCCGGAGCCGGAGCGCCGGGAGAGCACGGAGGGGCCCGCGGACGGCAGCAGGATGGTGGGTGCTCAAATCTGTAGGAGAAAAAAAAAACCCCGTGCTGCTGATTGACAGCAGCTCTGCTCTGCACCAAAACATCCTCACAGTCTGTCATGTTGCGCTAAAACAGGCGCACCGCTGTCTGACCGCCGCTCTGCTGCTCTTTCTCTCTTGCAGACTGTGCAGGAGTTCAACACGCTGGTGGCTCTGTACCGGGAGCAGGTCATCTCCGTCGGGGAGATCTCCGCAGACTGTCCCTCTCTGCGGGCGCAGATGCACCACACTCGCTCCAAAGGCTGCTCCATGGCCCGGGCCGCGCACCAGGACCTGGCCGTCATCTCCGTGTCAGGGTGAGAGGGGGGGTCTTCTGAAGACCGGACTCTAGATCAGATCAGACTTCTCACCTGTTTGTCTCTGAGCATCAGTTAAAGTTTTTCAGAGCAGAGCAGGTGAAATGTTCATCCACCAAACCTCCAGACTGAATGTTTTCATGGTTTGTTTAGGTTTTAGGATTTGATTCCATTTTTTTTTTTAAATGTGGTTTTACTGGTTTTAATCCTGTGACCTGCAGCCTGCACACCAGCTATAGAATAAAGCATAATTTTTAATGCCATTTATTGCATTTCTCAAAGTCAGCTTTGTGCAAAAAAAATTAAATAAAACAAAATATTAATAAAGTAAAGAAACACTAAAGGCAGCAGCACAATAGAAGCTATATGTAAATATAAGAATAGAATAAATACACATGATAATTGGGTTTTGCACATGTTATAAAGTGTGCAGAACGTGCTGTAAGAATAAATTACATTTTATTTAACTTGACTTGATCCATTCGTTCATTCAATCTTTTATTTAAACTCACTATGTTCAGACATGGAGGCCTCACTTATAGCTGTAGAAAAAATAAAGATGTAGCCACACAAATTAGAAGCTTGGATAACAACTAAACTATTCAAATTGACTAAAATGAAATAATAAAAACATGAATTAGATAGATTAGAGTTATTATTATTCATACTTGTCTCTCAGTATTTCCATTTCTTGCAACAACTTTGACATGTGCAGGATTGTTATTTCCACATCCAGGTGATTTTGGACCATCTGAACTAATACGTATATTTTTTGTTTATTTTTATCTTTCTTCTCTAAAAAGTTTGCACTGCCGCTTTTGCTGCCGTAATATTACAAGTTTTCCTGCTGTTTCATTAATGAAGGCTCATTGTACTGTATCATATTTAAGTTTTAAAAATAAATGATTCAACTAAATCAAGAGCAGTTGGAAATAAAACAGAAACGAGTCCAGCTCCAGATTGTCCTGCAGGTTGTTCCAGGCTGCAGGTGCACATCAGGTAGAACTAGACTTTACAAGCTCAGTGCTCCAGTCACGAGTGTTTAACTGGTAGAACAGGTGCTTTTATTTTGAAATGATGAGCAACGATAGGAGAAGTATGAACGAATAAAGCTGAATAAGACATAATGAAAACAACAAAACACCTTTCAAGACCTTAAAAACGTTTTTTGTCGGCCCCACGTGGATTCTTTGAACTTTCTTTTGTTTCATGTTTTAGAGAAAAATATTAAAATAACCATGAAGTTTGTGCTTTAATTGACAGAACAGCAACATTTACTCACTTTTCTGTCAACTATTAAATTAATCATCAACTGTTTTAACAATTTATCATCATTTTTTTAGAGAAAGAAAGTCAAAATTGTCAGATTCGAGCCTCTTTAATTGAAATTATTTTATGTTTCTTTCCTCCTCTGTGACAGTAAACTGAATATTTACGGGCTGTAAACAAACCACAACATTCTGAGACGTCTTCTTGGACTTTGGGAAACAATAATCGACTTTTTAAGGTTTTTTTTTGACATTTTATTGGTTTAATAAAGAAAGTAATCATTAGTTGTGGCAAAGGCAGACACCAGGTGCGCTGTGGAGGGTTTTGTGAAACGAAAGACGAACTGGTGACGTTTAAAAGTCTCAACCTGCAGCATGTTTGAGAACTCATACGTCCTGTTGCTCTGTTTGTCTGACTTCTTCATCTCTTCATGTTTCTCCTTCCTGTTGGCGCCGCAGGCCAGAAGACGGAGAAATCCACCCGGAGATCTGCCGACTCTTCATCCAGCTGCAGTGCTGCCTGGAGATGTTCATCACGGAGATGCTCAAGTCCATGTGCCTGCTGGGGGTGCTGCAGCTGCACCGAAAAAGTACAGAGACGACGCAACACCACAGCCCCACACTTTAGTCAGCAAAGACCAGAAAATAAGACACGATTAAAGCCGACTGCTTCATGCAGATACTGTGTGTGGCTGGAAATACCTGCTTGAAACTCAGAAAAGTTCAAAAATATTTGAAATAGTGCAACAAGACACCAAATCTCAGGCTGGTTTTGGGATTTAAGGCTGCACCTCAGTGTTTTCCAGGCAGTTATGCAGCCAGTCACAGATATTCTGTCCAGAAACCAGACTGTAGAAAGAAGAATTCTGCATTTCCCTCCTTTAAACCTTTACAACATGTATGTTTGATTAAAAAACTGGTTTTATTCATTAAAAAAAGGGAACAAATAGTAAACAGAACAGTGCAAAGGCAGGAGGATGCATTTCATTTTTAATCTCAAACTGCACTTTTAAACCAAGAGTTGATGTCAGTCGTGGGAATTGTCGGCTTTTTTTGACATATTTGCACAAAAAAACATTTGATCCCGTTCGTGTCCGCAGATAAAGGGGAGATATTTGAGCACAACTGTAATCAAAATGAGCTTTTTAAGTCGTATTTTCAGCGGGAATATCAACAGAATTTCATATTTATGTGTGTAAATGTTGAGCAGAGCCTTGAGCTCAGCAGCTCGCGTCGCCTCCTTCAGCAGAAATAACTCCTTGTAGGTGTTTTATGTAATTGTTCGCCGTCTCTGCTGGAATTTTTCACCGCTTCCGTGAAGTTCCTCCAGTTGCAGGATGTTTGAGGGTTTTCCGTGCATGTACAGTCTGATAAAGATCCCTTAACTCGTCTTTTATGAGGCATTCGTTGGTGGATCCTCTGTGTTTGGGATCATTAACTCTTCCGGTGTAACTTTAACCTCCAGACAGGTGGACTCACGTTTTCTCAAAGCGCTCTCTCATGAGATGCAGAATTTCTACTTGAACTACTGATGATGCAACCTGGAAAGTAGAACGTTTAGTCCTGCACGATGAGTTCTTCCCGACACACTTTCTGTGCAGGTCAAGTTTCCCCTTCAGATTGTCGATGCAGCACTTTGACAGCTGCAGGTCATGTGAGGACGTTCTGGGGTTCTTGAAGACTGAGACCGATCAGCCAGAGCTGCACGAACTGGCCGTTGTTTATTTGAAATCTACACCACTTGGAGATGATTTTCCAGGTCCTTCCAGGTCTTAGAGGATCCTTAGATGTCGGCACGCTCTTGAAAAAATAGAGACCAGCTGAGCCAGAATCAGAGGTTTAAAGAAGACGAGTTCCACCTGAGAAGCTTTTAATTATGAGCACCTGAACACCGATTTGATTGATATGAAGGTGTGATCTTTTTTTATGACTGAGCTGTTTTTAGATTTATTTAAAGTCTAGAAATGACTAGAACATGTCAATTTGATGTCATTTCTATCCATCCATCCATCTTCTCCCGCTTATCCGGAGTCGGGTCGCGGATGTCATTTGTTTGAGTAAATCCCCTTTATTTGATGGTTTTGCTCAAATATTTTTTTAAAAAGCAACGATTTCCACTGAATTTTTCACACGACTGCATGTAAAGCACACATGTAGCAAATACTGAGATAAATTAATATACGGTTCATCATTACAGCTGCATCATGTTTAAATCCTTTTAAAAGACCCACAATTACTACATAAAAACACAAACATCTGTTGGAAATCCCTCCTACTTTCCTTACATGAAACAAACTCTTTGTTAATACACAAGATTTATCTGCCACCAAACCATTGGAGATCTTTATGGGGGTAAATAACATCAGGCAACTCAAAAAAGTATAAAAATAATGCACATTACAAGTCTGTAAATATGGAAATTGGTTATTTTGGGTTTTCAAATGTGATTAGACGGTGATGCATGGAGGTATAAAAGACAGGTAAATATATTAAAAGTACAGTACAGGTGCTGGTTTCTGCTTGAAATCTATTTAAATACTCATTAGCTGCTGATTCTGATTTGATTCTCCTGCAGGTATCAACACTCAGAATAATGAGCCCCAACAATCAGGAGTGAAGGACGTAGAAGCAGTAAAATATCCAGTAAATATGTAAAAACAGATCAATATGTGTCTGTTGAACCAGCAGGAGGCAGCAGAGAGCCGCTCACGTTTCCAGGACTTTGGATTCATTTTTATTGCATTTTTAATCATTTAAAGAACATTTTTAAGGAAGAAGCTGATCCTGTTTACATTCAGAAAAAAGCATTTTCAGTCGACATTCCAGCACAAACTGGTTTAAAAATCACTCCTTGTAAGAAGTATTTATTTCCTAAATGAGCAAACTGGTGCCTCGCTGTGGCTGTTTGCTCGCTGACAGGCTGCTTTGCTTCAGAAGTCCAGCTGTCTCCAGTGTTTTCGTGTCTTTGCTGAGTCTCTGTTGGCTTTTGAAGGAACCGACTCGGAGCCGAAGGTGGACTTCCGGCTGGACGAGAGCTCAGACGTCCCCATCCTGGAGGACCGGTCCTCGTCTCCCATCGACTTCCCTCAGGAGCAGTGGCTGGTGGGCACCGACATAGAGAACATAGAGAGGTAGGGCCTGGTTTCTGCTGCAACTGTGTTCCTCTAATAATTCATTTAGATCGAACTTAACAAGCTTTGCCTTTGCAGAGACATGCGAGAGATGCGGAACTTACTCAGCAAACTCAGGGAGACGATGCCGCTGCCGCTGAAAAATCAAGGTAGGTCACAAAGGTCATTAAAATACTGTGCAAAGACCAAATAAGAGCAACAGAGAGCTGATGAGGAAAAAAAGACAAGAAGCAGAAAGATGTCAAGTATTCAGATCTTTACAGAAAGTTAGCTGAAAGACAGAAAGATGATTATAAACTCAAACTTAAGCTGATTCTTTAAATCTTTGCTTCTTGATAGATTCAAGGTCTTAAATTGGTCACAAACACAGTTATAAATGGTATAACTCCCAGTGAAATGTGTTGTGCACCTGTTCCACACCGAAACAATAATAAGATAAAAAAAGAATAAGGAATAAAACACACAAGAAATTAAAAAAAACATAGATGAATGTATACAAAAAGTGCAAAAAGGGAATAAAACAAAGAAAATAATAATAAGAATACGTACATGTGTGTATACAAGGTGAAAAAGTGCAAAGTAGCAGGTTGGATTGTTACTGAATTTATATAATTGTATATTTATTTATATATACATATATGTTATTTATATTTATTATATCGACATGCTGTAGAGTTTGACCTTGAACTACTTTACTGACTCCTACTATTCTGTCACAATAACTTTTGCGTTCCATATCATCTGTAGAGAAAGACTAAAATCTATTAATATATATTATTGTGGTTCAATGAGCCTCTGCGTTTGCCATCGATGTGATAAACCTGTAGCGGCTAATTTAAACTAAAAACGTAGTAGTTCAGTGCATTTACGTGTAACATAGCCTTTATTGGTGCAGTTAGCATCGACAAGCTAAATTAGCTTTATTTTAGATTCAATCTTTGGCATTTCTATGGAAACAGAGCTTTAATGCAGCTTGTAATTAGGACTCACAAGAAGAAACTGCTTCACTATTTAGATCTCCTTGTTTACAATGACGTCCAGAGTCAACAGAATAAACAAACAGAAACATTTAAAGTGGTTCAGTCTGTGATGGTGGACTTATTTTGCAGGGACAGTTGAAGCAAGCGTTACTGTTTGGTGCACAATATTCAAAACGTGTGCAGCAGAAAACATAGTTTTTCCAACTTTGGTGCGAGGACGCAGGACCTCAAGCATCAGCCGATCAGTTGAATGAGCTGAATAATGAATCAGAAACCAGTTTGATGAAGAGCTTATGTATCGCAGCAGCAGGTCTAATAGAATAAGTGTTCACGTTGGCTCATCTGTTTAAGGTTTGCTTTGATTTTCCTTCACAGTTATTAGGAATCAAAGCAAACACAGCTGATAAAGGATGAGTTAAACATCTGTAGATCTTCTGAGAGCCGTCTGTTTGTGACGCTTTGTTGCAGACGACAGCAGCTTGTTGAATCTGACTCCACATCCGATGGCCCGACAGAGGAAGAGGCGATTCCCTGGACTCTGCTGCATGGTGTCGGGCTGAGAGGGCTTCGTCCTGCACATCTACCACAACCGCTTCGATTCATTGCGTCCGTCTTCTTATTTTTTTTTTTTGCACCAATATCTGAAATTGTAACCTTCTAGCGTCTGTGATCTGATATTTAGAGTTCTGCTGCTCAGCTCATCCGGCTCACGGTCAGTAATAAACGAACGACAGCAGACGTATTCGGCAGCAGGTCCAGTCAGGTCGGACCTCAGAGACACAGGCAGAACTCTGTTTCATTTTTAAGACTCATGCAGTCATTTTCCTGCCTATTTTTTCTTTCAGTTTTTCTATAATAAAAGCTAATAAATGTACATATTCGGGCTATGCACAGGCGTCTCCAGTGTTCCGTCTCACTGTGCTCGTGTCTCGCCGCCATGTTTGAATGTGAGACGTCGTCCGGGACGAGCAAGTCTCCCTCTGCTGCGACGCCGTGTAGACAAAAGCAATCCATCGATACGGTATTATGGTGCAAACACATAACCGGCTTCTGTAATTATAACTTTTCTCTTACTGTAGGAAAAAAAAGGGACTTAGAAATTATTCAACAGTGAGTGTGTTAAAACTTTATGCCAGAAAAGGTGTTTCAGAGCTTTAGCTGAACTTTGCCTTGTAGACGTCTTTGTCGTTCGGTTCCAACACTTTATTTCCCCCCAAAACTATCGTATTCAAGGTCCCCAGAGGATAGACACTAGTCATTTTACACACCTCAGCGCTATTACCAGTCATAAACTTCCATTTTTTGTCCATAAAATATCAAAATCTAACATATAAATGTGTAGAAAATGGGAAGATTTCCATTGGCAGATGTGCTCCCCAGATGATAAACCATTCATGAGCTTTTCTCTAGCGCCACCTGCTGCACAAAGTTACAATTTTTATTCATCTCGATTGCTGACAACGCTGCAAGAACACCAATTATTTAAATGTACGTGTCCACGGGGGCGTTTAGGGTTCTGCTGATTTGATTTTAGATCAAAAACGTGAAGTTTAAAAGGTTTTAGGGAGTTTTTTTAGATGCTGGATGCCACTGATTTGCATAAGTTTATGTAAATGTGGAGCAGCCGAAGTGACGCCTCGACTCGAAGACAAAAAGCAGGAAGGATAGAAATGATGGATATAGTGGACTCGTACCGATAGTGTCACTGCCAGCTGAAAAAAAATCACAACATTACAAGATAAAGTTAGCTGTAGGAAACAAAACAGAGCATTTCATTTCATTTTCCTGCAACATCCAACTCCTCCATCTTGACTTTTTCTTGTAAAATTCCAACTCCCTTCTCTTAATCTTTATTTTTCCCTGCAGTCGCACCAATAATCTTGTTTTTCATTCGTCACTGTGGATTGTAACTCAGCCTCCAGGGGGCGCCATCGTCAACACGCTCCCCACAAAAACAAACATTTTTAACTTCCAGCTTCAGTTTTCCATCACAAGGGCTTTGCAGATTCTCCACATATAGAAAAAAAACAACTAAATTAAAATCTTCTTGTTCACCTGAAACATTCTGTTTTCCCCCCATTGAATGTAAGTGCGATGTAATTTGTAAACTAGTGTTCGTGCGGTTTCCTTTTTCGTTCCTTAGCGTGCCGTGGTAGTGTTTAAAGTGCTGAACTCTTGGTTTTGGCATGTGTACGACTCAGACTAGGCCATGTGGAGTTAGTGTGTCCTGCAGTGTAGAGAAACACGGCGAAACTTCTGTACAGCGTAGAACATTTTATAATGTGAATAAAGTTTTATATACAAACGACGTGTTTGTGTGACTGTGGTTAATTCAGCAACATTTCAGGATTTGCTCTCTTTGTGAGCTGAAGAGAATCCACCTCAACACCATGTTAATGCATTGAAATTGTTAGCCTAGCTTAGCATAAAGCCTAGAATCCTCTCCACCGTCAGTGCAGGTTGCCAGATATGGTCCTTACCTGGCAACCTCGCTGTGATGACAGCTTGCAGATTAAACAAACAAGACAAAACATGTAATTTAATGAATTCTGACAGATTAAAGACATTTTTTTTAACTTTAGACCAACTACTTCCACTTTCTCCAAGTCTTAATGCTAAGCTAGGCTAACCAAGTGCAGAATTCTCCTTTAGTTTCATACTTACAGATGAAAATCCACTTTTTACTTCCTTAACATGTCAAAATATGATCATTCCCACCTTGAAACCGCAGATGTCAGTCTCAAAAACACGTATTTAAACTTTTCATACCTAAAAAACACTGTAAAAACCAGTTCTGTCAAGTTGCATGATGGGACTTTTCAGTGTGCTACAGACACTAAGAGCTTCAGTAGAAGAGACCAGAACTTCTTTAGATCTTGAAGACGTTTCACCTCCCAACCAAACGGCTTCTTTACTTCAGAGCAGACAAACAGTCTAGCTGTCTTCTGCTGAAGCTCTGAGACTGACCGTGACCTGGACGACTGAGAATCCACTCAGACGACAGCGTAGAGTTACATCGGAGCCATTTTAAGGCTTAAGGAAGCAGGTGTAGAGCCGAGGACACCACAGACCAACAGTGAAGCCCATTAGAGGGATTTGCATTAACAACAATCAAATAGTTCTGAACAACCAAAGTTTTGTTGCAGTTTAAAGGTTTTGCACAACTGTGATTAAAAAGCATATCGATGGTATAAAAATATGTGTTTTTATACGTAAACAAAGAATCTGTACGTCTTTTTAGTGAAATGTGCGTGACTTCAGGTTAGCTGTAGGGTTAGTTGTGCAAACTCTTTAAGACTTACTTTGAAAAAACTCTACAAACAAGTAATAAAAACTGTTAAATGATGAAGACCTGCAGCCTGAAGAAGGAAACTGAAAGTGCTTTGAGCTTTATCGGAACAAACTTATGCAAGTGTTCCAAGTTTTAGTTGGTTTACGGCAAAATAAAAGGTGCATAGTGCCACCTGTAGCCGTCTTACCTGCATAAGAAAATGCTAGGATTGATTTTAATGGGAAAAACTTCAGACTCTGCAGCTTTGCCCTGAAATGAAGGCAAAAATAACCTTTAAAAAAATCGCCTCATTGTCTTCAAAGTGTAGAGGTATGTGTTTGCTATAATCGTTAATCACCTGTAAAAATGCAGAAACAAGGTGCATTTAGTTGTTTAATATCTATTTGTCTCCATCTAATGAAGCACCAACGTGTTATTTACTGACTAATGAGTCATGACTCTAATTATAAAGTTCTCTTTGCGCCTCTTGCGTCGCACATTAGGCTGAAATCACCGATGTTCCTTCCACAACCAGCACCAAAACAAAGGCCGACTGCGTTTATTCCCAGATTGTGTAAATGTTTGGACCACAGGAGTGAAGAACTGCAGCGTTCCTCCTCCTCGGGGTCTCCTGGCTGTCAAACGCTCAACATCTGGTTTACGTCTGAGCAGCTGGGAAACTCCAGAGCTCTTAACTTCCCGTAACACCGAGAGACGAGGCGGTTACATAAGAACTCTCTGTGCCCTGAATATCAGGATTATCATTATTAATTCTGGTGTGTGTTTTTTTTTTTGACTCCCGTTGGCCAGTGAAAGTCCAAAAACAAGCTAATGTGATAAATCACAGTCGGAGGGTTTATATTCCTGCTCAGACTCCAGCCTCGGTCAGATCCAGCTCTGCCTGCAGTGCAGACTCCACTTAGACTGCTCAGATATTCAGAATCAGGAGCTGCAGAGTTAAAGGCTTCAGGATCTGCTGAAGAGGACGTCAGTGCAACAGGTGAGTCAGGCTTTGATTTTTTTTTAAAGCATGTTCTGACACAATCGTGCAGGAAACGTTTGCAGAATTTTGCAGTAAACCTTCTGAAACCTGCAGCAAAACCATCAAGCTGCTTCGTGTTGTTTCCTCTTTATTATTAAATGTGTTTTATATAAACCGCTTTGTGTAAAACATGGACTGAATCCTGCATGAAAAAGCAGTTTATATGCATTAAAAATCCAAATTAAAAACAAAGTTAAAGAGGAATAAATCAAATCTATGTGATGCTGCGTTTATTGAAATGAATAAGAGGATATCTGTTGAGGTAATCTGATTACTTTCAGAGCAGCTGGAGCCAGTCCGATGGCTCCTTCCAGAAGCTTGTTTCTGCTGCAGCTCCTCGGCTGCATCAGCGCCGGCCTGGCCTGTTTCTGTGAACGATACCAGTGGAGCTCCTGGTCCAGCTGCTCCAGAACCTGCAACCACGGCACCCAGCAGAGGCAAAGGTAGAACACATAAATCACAGAGCAGCACAGACACGGTGTTCAGAACGTTCTGCTTTCACTCCTCTGGACCATCAGGTCAGGAATGTTCATGAGGAGTCAGTCTGTCTCCATTTATGGTCTCGTTTCAGATAAAACGTCCTCAAACCTTCAGAGTGACTAAAAAACTAAACCTGCTGCATCCCTGGGAGTCAGATTTGGATGTTTTCAAATTATGTTTTGACAGAATTTGCAGAAATGTGGTATGCATGCCTTAAAACTGCAGCAAAACCACTGGATGCTTTATGCTGTTTTCTTATATCATTATTAAATGTGTTTTTGTGTCTTACGTAAACCACTTTGTGTATAACATGTGCTAAATGTTTCCTGAAAATGCGTCTCAGATAAGATACGATGTCGTCCCTGGAAGGCAAACCTCCTCCTCCAGGGCTGAGACATGATGAGTTCCACATGACACTAGAGATGAAGAGTGACTTTGCTTGGAGATGGAGGACACTTTTTAAGCCAATACATCAGACTTTAATAGATCAAATCAGCAAACATTTCTGCTTTTAATTAATTATTTGTGTCTCCAGGATCTTCTTTGGTAATTTAATCAATGTGTCCTCACAAACAGCTCCTCCACACACAGCTCAGACTCGGGTCAGATGCCAGACAGGCGGCTTTTTTACGGCATTTTTGCAAAATCGAAACCAACATCGAGCCGAAGCACCAGAATTGTGCAACGAGAGAAGACTGATGTTCGTCTCTCTGCTGCTTTCTGTTGTTATTGCGAAATGCAGGCCTGAAGCAGACGACGCCAGAAGCTGCAGCAACCAAAACTGAATCATCTTGACTTTTTCTTCAATGTTTTTTTTCTCTTCGTCTTTATTTTTTCTCCTGCTAATCTGTGGGGATGTAACTCACATTACAGCCTCTACAGGACTTCATCCAGCACCGGTTTGTGTGTTTTTCTCTGACCAGGCAGTTTAGGTTCGACGATTATTACTGGAAGAGCAGCTGCCACCAGCTATGTGACAGGGTGGACACTAGGGCCTGCAACGATCAGGCCTGTCCCATCAACTGCCTGCTGACTGAGTTCGGTTCGTGGTCCGAGTGTTCGCCGTGCGCCAAGAAACAGGCAGGAAGCAGCACGAACACACCGTCAAACACACTTACACTCTCTCTGCTCCATGTTTTATCCAAACAGACTGATTATAAGCATGCTTCTTTGCAGACAAGTGTTCAGTCAATGCCCCCAAAAATCTAAAGAATGCAGCAACTCTGTGTTTTCAATTATTTACCGAATTCAAGCACGTTTCTAACTAGAGCACCAAAAACAGAGTCTCATCTTTAAGCACATTAACAAAAAATCTGATGAATGCTCTTCACTTTCAGCACTTTTTTTTTCACAAATTGTTTGAACGTTAACATCTCAGGATCTATTAAAGATAAAAGCCTGATTTTCTATTATTTCTCATCATGCTACTGATTCATAATTTGCAATATTAGACAAGTAGATCAAGTAGTCTCTGATTATATATAATGAAAAGTTCCATCTTTGAGCTCAGATTAACAAAAAAACTGACAAGGCAGAAGTTAACTAGTGATGTTTTCTGAACCACGTGTAGCTGCAGGTCACAACAATACAAAACTAAACATGCAGAATCCTTTTAATTTGAAATATCTGGTCACAAAAAGTTGTTTTTGTTGAACTTTCATAACTGATTGACCAGAAATAACGAGTTGTACCACAAAAACAAAAGTATTCTGCCTAATCCAAGTAGATCTTTCAAAATATTTCTTCAAATATAACAAAAATGTTTTGGGTTTTTTTTGTGTGCAAATTTTTCATTTCCAACCCCACTTTACAGTTGTTTTTTTTTTGTATTTGTAGAGGATATAAAGTGAAAATTTAAACAAATATCTTGATAAATGTCCATATGTTTCTATGTAAACTTCAGTCGTGTACTTTTGTGTCATTTCTTTGGGATTTATTAATGCATTTAATCGTTAAGAAGACATCATTATAACATAACCAGAACCAAGTATATGGTTCTTTGGGATGTTTCTGGAGGGAAATCTTTTAATATGCAAAACAAATGTGCTGAAAGTAGGCAGTTTGTTTTTTGTTATTTTGAAAAATAGTTCAGATATCAGTCAATACTTGAGGTTAAATTTCACACTTTATGAAATATGCATAGTTTGGGGTAAAACTCGAGCAGAAGAGATGATCTGAGAGAGCTGGTATTAGCTGTAGCAAGCATTTTAGTCTGACAGAAGACATTTTATTACAACATACATGTTTGTTTCTTCTCTTCTAACCACCGTTGGTCACTAAGTGGTTGGTTAAGATCTAGTTTATTTGCTGCCACAGCTTCGGACCCGGTCCGTCCTGAGACCCTCCCAGTTCGGCGGCTCGGACTGCAGCCCGGAGCTGACGGAGGAGAGGCCTTGTTTCCCCTCCACAGAGTGCAGGTTGGCGGCCGTCGAGTGCAGAGACGACTTCAAGTGTGACAACGGTGAGTAGGACTTCACTTTTTGTTTTTAACAGAACTGACGTGTTGCACAATCACAGACAATCTGAAAGTGTTCCTCCTGCCGCAGGTCGCTGCATCAACTCGACTCTGACGTGCAACAAGCAGAACGACTGTGGAGATAATTCTGACGAGAAAGACTGCGGCAACGTACAACCCGTGTGTCCAGTTGAGAAAGCGGTGGCTCCCGGAGCCGACCTGGTGGGAAACGGGTACGTTAGAGGGGAAAAGGTCACTGCTGGGTTTGTAACTAACCTGCAGTCTGTCCCTGTTCAGGTGCTCCTCTGTCAGAGATCTCCCTGTAAAGACCGTGTATTACTATAATTATTACATTATTATTATTAGTAGTGGTAGTACATTGTGCATTGTTGCAGTCGTTGTAATGACTTTGAATGTTGTTGTGCCTTACGAATACCGTGTTTTAGAGACGAATATTGATCCTAAAAAGAGCTTAAATACTAAAATAGTCAAATCTGAGAAAACATTTTGTGCTCCCAATGATCACATAAAGATGAAATCCTGGAAAACACTCTGATGTTACAACTGAGCAATAAACATTAACAATAAATATGAGCTTGCTGTGAATGTTCAACCATGAAAATCACTGAATTTGAGAAATATTCCAAAATGAAAATGTGTAAAATGCTACCAATAAAACAGTGGATATTATTTGGGTCCATGCAACATTATAATCCTGTATATGTCTGCACTGTTGGCCTGAAATGTGGTGTTTGACTTTAATATTATGAGGTTTAATTGTTCATTGTTTGTTTGTTTATTCATTAGTTTATTATAGTTTAACAGTAGTAATAGTTAAATATAGTTTTTTCATCGCCTGCAGGTTCGACGCTCTGGCAGACGAACCGAGGGGAGCCGTGCTGGACAACATGTTTATGGGAGGAAGCTGCATTATTAGGAGGCCTAAGACCACCTTGCTGTACCATCGGGTTCCCTACAACTTTGAGAACTTTGAGATCAAGGTAGCATCCGGCGCTTCGGCTGTCACTGGAGCTGTTTTGTTCTAAAAGCCTTCTTTGAAAGTTCTGCGATGTTCTCCTCATGCTATTGGCGGGAAATTTTCTTTTAGTTCCCAGAATGCTCTTCTTAAAGGCAGGATAACTACAGATGTTCTAAAAATGTTTGGCGATAACATTGTTTGTCGTAACGTTGTGGAGACTGCTGGACACACAATATGCTCAGTTTACCCCAAGACCTGAAACTGCAACTTTATCATTTTGTATCAGAAAAGTTCCAGGACTGGTGCCACAAAGGATATATTTCAATTCCAAACTACAAACTACAAGTTTTCCCCTTCGAAGTAACCTCCCCTGGAGTCACTTTCCCAGCCTTCTCTGCCACGCCCTCCTTGAAGGATTCTTTCGGGATCCTCTGCAGCTCCGTCGTCACAGCCATCTTGATGTCATCCACGTCTTCAGAACGGGTCTCCTTGATGACCCCCTTGAGCTTGGGGAAGAGGAAACGATCCCCCAGAGCCAGGTGGGGCGAGTAGGGAGGTTGCTCCAGCACGGAGATGTTCTTCTCAGCCAGGAACTGTCGGATGCTCAGGGCGTTGTGAGCAGCTGTGTTGTCATGGTGAAGCAGCCACGACTCATCCTGCCACAAATCTCGCTTCTTCTGAACAAAGCAAATGCTGCAGGATCTCTTTGTAGACCTGCTGGTTGATCATCTAAAGGGGAAAACTTGTAGTTTGCGGTTTGGGTTTGAAATATATCTTTTGTGACACCAGTCCTGGAACTTTTCTGACACACTTCATACATGTTTCTTGCGAACACCTAAAAAATCTTACAATACTCCCTCTAGACATACATGCAAGGTCTGCTGTTATAGACCTTCGTGTTTGTGGTTGTTTAGGTCGGACAAGTAGAGGACTTCAGCATCGAGCCACAGCAGCTACACACCGAGCCCATCGATTTCCAGGCGTCCAGTTCATCACCTGACAGCCACACGGCATATGACAGCAGCTTCCTAGTCCCCATCTTCTACTTCAATAGGAGGAGTGGGTCACGGGTCAGCTCTCACAAGGAGGCTTTTGAAGCTTCAAAGAAAAAGGTGAGTGATGCGAACGTCAGCATGGACACACGTGTGTAATGATATATATTTACAACTATGTAACAGTGTACCTAATAAACTTACTAGAACCTTGATTCACTTGATGCATTCACTAATTCTCTAACCCTAAGACGACCAGAAGAAGTGATGTACGAGGTGTGATCAAAAAGTTCCAAGACTGAGCAAATAACAATAAGCAAAACCTGTAGCTAATGTTTAAGCTAATTTGCGTTGGCGCGTGGTGAGAAAACAAGTGTTGGCACAAAGGTCGAATGTTTTCCCTCAAGACTTTACATTGAGAGTCTGATTCTGGGGGATAAATTCACAACCACATGAATGTCCAACAACAAAATGACCTGCTCACCACATCTACCTTCTTCGGTCTCGGAGATCGTGGATCTACTGCCAAATTACTGTTTGGTCTCTCGGTGGTAGCTGTAAACCAAACTCTTGCCATTAGTGGTGACCCTGTCGGGCTACTTTGGTACAGAATTCGATGTTT